CACAGAGACAACCTCTCGTCAATATGCGTTTTTCGCATTGCATTGCTGCAAAAAAACGCATAAAAATGCCCAAGAAAAATGAGAAAAAGGACAACGACCGTGGGCTGCTACTGACGAAAATAATGCTTGGAAAAAAAAGTAAAAACTTGAAAGAAAATAACTTACCATAAAGCATATAGGTCTTCAAGGACGTGGTGATTTTTGCGGGAGGATTATCGCGGTGCGGGATGAATAACTGCGCTTTCCCAAAATCTCTTTCTCGTAATTTCTGCACCTTTCCAGCCAACGATGAATGCACACCAATATGTTGAAAAATGGAAGGGCGACAACGGATGCGGTGCAGTTTTGTAACCTGTAAACGTGGCTACATTATTAGAAAACACGGGCCCTATTTCGGGTTTTCAGTCAAACTAAAAATCTACAGGGGTTGCCACTAAAAAAAACTCTATCTCTCGGAACAATGTTCACAGCTCCGTCAATAACATCGATGTGCACAGCTTAGCGCTTTCTTAGATGCTGAGCGAAGCGCTCACTGCGCAACACGCCGAATGCTAAATCAGCAGCTGAGTGACTAGAAAGACGTACAAAGCATTATGCATTCAGTAGGAAAAAAGAAGGATTAGCAGTGCCACGGGGGATAAAAGACGTCCCAAAGATCAGCCCTCAACAACGACCCTTAGGCGGGCCCAGTGCTTCACTATCTCCATCCTGTAGACGTATCCAGCGTGGACGTATGATTCGTGAAAATGAAAACACATGCATGCTTGTATGTGTGCACTACATGAATTATGCAAATTCTCATTTTTCTGTGTTCTCCACCTAAAGTGACATTTTTTGCGGAAAGTTATGTTCATGATAATTGTCAGCCAACAGCAAAAAAATGCAAGTAAAAGCGTTCCATTCAACAAATGCGAGAAAATTAAGGAAACTTTGCCAAGCGATCTTCAGAAAACGGAATGTAAACGGTAAGGCACATGCCAAACATATGCATTCTAAGACTTAACATATCTTATTCAAACACAATCCTGGACAATATTCAGAAAATTTCAGCAATTCAGCTGTTCTGATTGCGGAGCTACATCAGATTTCACGTGTTCGTACGTGAATGGCAACATGAATGCTGTCTTCATATATGCTTGCCCAGACACGGTCCTAAACGACGCTCAGAAAGTTTCAGCACTCCAACTGCTCTGGTTGCGCAGTTACGCCAAATTTCACATGTTCGTATGCGAGGGATAAATTGAATGCTCTCTTCGCGTGCGCTTGTTCAAACAGGGTCCTGGGTCATACTCAGGAACTTTCAGCGCTCTAGCTGCTTTAGTTGCGAAATTACACCAATTTTCGTGTGTGCGTATGTAAGACATGAAGGGGACCTGAAAATCGTTTTCACGTCCATCTGGTCAAACGCCACCATCGGCTATGCTCAGAAAGTTCCAGTCCTCTAGCTGTTTCAATTCTGAAGTTACTAAAGTATCTGCGTGAAGTTTCCACGCGTACTTACGCGAGATGCAGAGAGGCTGGAAAGTTCAATTTACTTTCACGAGCACAACGGTGGACGACATGCAACGCAGCAAAATTGCAGCCCTTACAACTTCTTGGTCAACTTAAATCTGGAGTTGGCGCGACGCCAGTCTGAACTTTGGCATGTGCGTACGTGAGACCGAGGGGCGCGTGAAAGCTGAATTTAAAATCTTTGGATTCGACCGGCCAAGAAACATCTCAGTGAATTCTCAGCCTCATAGCCCGTGCTGTTCCCGAAAACGCTTTCCCGCCAAAAAAACTTCCACTTGCTCGCACGCGAGAACCACAGGATAAGAGCTTGCATGTATGTGGATAAGAGCTTGCATGTATGTGTAGATTAAGTTACCAAAGTTTCAGCTTTGTAACTTTTGAGGATCTCGAGATGAAAACTCATTAAAAGCGCACACACAGACACACATACATACGCAGACAGTCCCTCGATAATATTTGTTCTTGCATTGCATAGATGCAAAAAACGCATGGAAAAACGGTACTACGACTTTCGCAGCTCAAACTTAAAACAAATGCACGCTGTGCGGCTACGCCAGACCGAGTTTTAGTAACTGCCAAGGAAATATCACTTCAACAAAGTTGCAGAAAGACATACAAACCTCCGCACACTGCTTAGTTGACTTTTCTGGATGACAATAGCGATTGACGAAGAGCAGGTCCAGCAGCCAGTCAACAGGTTTCACTTGATAAAACAAGGCTATAAACTGCGTCAGCAAGGTCAAATCAGAGGATCGAAAAAGCTTTCCAATAAAACCTAGAGAAGAGAATTCGAGCATCAACCAGTCTTCTGCCTCATTCTCTGCGATAAACTCTTTGACACGTTTAATAAATCCGGCTTTGGATATCACATCGTCCTCCAGTTGGAGGTAGTATTCACCTGAAACACTTCTTTCATGCCCAATACATAACAGACAAGTTCTAGCAGACGAAGCGAACATCCCGATACACGCATAGTCGTGATATGTTTGCCAAAATTCTAGCAGTAACTTAATAAAAGAGGCAGACAGTTGCACCAGGCAATGATGAACCAGTAAAAACTGCGCACTGTAGCAGGACATAAGTGCTCTTGCTACTTCAGTTATTGGTAATATATCACCTCGTCTTTGACAGTATAACATTAAAAACATGTAGTCCAGATTTTGCTTCGTTCGCCAGCGCATTCGCTCCGGAGAATCATTGAAAGTTGCTGGAAGAGTGTACAAATCTGGCGAGTACCATTCGCGTGGAGGAACAATAATCTAAAAAAGCACTGCTAGCGCCACAAAGTTTTTATTTCGATAAAGAAGAATATGACGCGCGGTATGCTGCAGGCCTAAGGCACATACGCCACATAGCTTTTGTCGCATGGCAAAAATTTCGTGCAGTCTGCATTTCGCTGAAATAAGCTTAACAGTTTGAGGAACAGCCACACATACTGAGGCGCCGCTTCCGTATGCGACTGCGTAGAAATATGAGCAAAAACAAGCACAAGAGCTATCTGTCCTAACTTCGCTGACAGAGACAGGAAGTTTCTAGCACATTGTACCAGCAGTCCCTAGAACAGCCTTTACCAGTAATTTAAACAAATTGTACCCTCAGAAGCCCGGAGTTCAACTCAGACGGAAATTCCGACTGTAGTGAGTCGCACTGCTCCTTAACAAATGGAGAATATGGGCCTGCATCATCAGCTATAAGCACCACGATTGTTACCATCTTCATTTCCTCGCTCGATAAACCACCAATTAGCGACTGAAGCGTCGGCAGCAAATATGACTGCTGTAATACTAATCAACTGTACTATTTTCATTTACGGCTGCAACAAAAAGAAAGAAGTTGTTCATCACATTTGTGTACCAACAAAAGATTAAGCAGACACAAAGACTTACGCAGTAAATTACCTGACCCTAGAGCTGGTCAGAACATGCCGCTTTCTGAGCGGAAACATTGACATTTCGCAACAATGCGCTTAACAGTTCCTTTTTTTCAGGAATCGAAAGAAAAAAGAATTTTTTTTTTGTTTTTTCATTTTCAACTAGTCAAACAAGACAGACAGCATCGACTACACTTTCTGAAGCCCAGTTTCTGGGCTTTAGGCGAGTTCAGAGCTTTAGACGAAGCTTTATTTTAGCAGTGGACAGCTGAGTCGATATACAAATCCTGCAGGTTCAAC